TACCTTTCTATCCCATTTTTCCACAAACTTTTTGAAGTCCCCTCATACCACATATACACAAATATGCATGTGCTTATGCATATATGACTATAGATAGACAGACAGACACAGACATTGTACCAAGAGAACTTCAGCCCAGGGATTCCTCTAAGCTGTAGTCAGCAGTGAAGAAGATCCTCTATTTTAAAGGCATCCTTACAGGAGAAAACGTCACCCTTCTTTGATAGTCTGTTCCCAAACCTTTATATATTACTTTGAAAAAGTAATATACTACTTTCATAAATTCCTTGTATCAGAAGGCTTTTTAATATGGAGTCCAAAAATCCCCAAGATAAACATCCCATGGGGTCTCTGAGCTCCTTGAATTGCAGGCAACATTTAGTTCCTAACTTCTCTAAAGATCGCAGAGAACCACACCCCAAGATCAACCTGGGTTCCTCTTTCTATAGCTTCACCCATTTCTTTTTGCCTTGCCTTCTCTGGAGGTCATGCACTACCCTCTATATTGTAAGTGAAAAGTGTGACGACTATCCTGTTTCTGTGTGAGCAATTTCAGATATTCTTTACCTGCTCCCATAGGCTGTTATGGAAATATTTTAAATTAATTTTATGGCTGTCTTTTGAACCCTTTTCCAATTGTTCATGGACCTAAAAATTAAAAAAAAATTGTAAAACGCAACATACCAGGGAAGGTCTGCTTCAAGAGCTTGAACTTGCTGACAGTGGGGACACAGAGCTGTGGGCAGTAGGAACACGGCTGCTTAGGGAGGTCCAGGAGGTCCAAGGTTGTCAGCTCTAAACCACCAGCCACTCCTCCGGAGAAAGATGCAGTGGCCTACCGCCGTGAAGAATTAAGGCCTCAGAAACCCACAGGGGCAGTTCTGCCTCGTCATACAGGGTCACCAGGAGTCAGAATGGACTTGACAGAAGTGCGTCTGAGTTTTTTCTGATGCTCGTCTCGCTACTACTACTCACGGTCACAAGAATAGAAAACACCTGTGTCCATCAGTAGAATGGATAGATGGACTTCAGTACATGCTCACAGTGGAATATGAATAAACATTCAAGAATAATGATAAAAGTGTGAAACGCCTCATGGCATGGTGGATAGAGGAGCTGTGGATGACACAGTCATTCCATATTGGGCTGCTAACTACAGGTCAGCAGTTTGAAACCACCAACTGGTCCTAGGGAGAAAGATGAGGCTTTCTACTCCCATAAATAGATTAAGTCTCTGAATCCCATAGGGGAAGTTCTATTCTATTGTATAAGAGTCACAGTAGTAAGTTTTAGTTTTAACTTCACTTAGCATATTCACTGCTATCATGTCGAACTCATGGGGCATTGTTACTCTTTGCAGGAGTACCTAGCCTCATCTTTCAACTGAGGAGTGGCTGGTGGTTTCAAACTGCTGACCTTGTGGTTAGCAGCCCAACACATGGCTCACTAGACCAAGGACAAACATTTTTTTAATCATTTTATTAGGGGCTCATACAACCCTTATCATAATCCATACATACATCAATTGTGTAAAGCACATTTG